CGATGAAGGATCGTCGTCGAATGAGGAGCAGTCCGCCCCATCGATCGAGGCTCGAGTTTGTGACAAACATGTTCTTCTCAGAATCTGTTGTGAGAAACGTAAAGGGGTTTTGGTTAAAATTCTTTGCGAAGTAGAGAAGCTTCATTTGAGTGTTGTTAACACAAGTGTGGTGCCATTTGGAAGTTCGGCCCATGATATTACCATTGTTGCAGAGGTAAATAGTCTTTTTCGAACAACTCAAAAGCTTGAGATGTAGTGGCTCAAATTGATATACTTATCGACTTCAGACTTCAAATCCATCGATGAAATTTTTCGTCTTTTCTGACATTTGATTAAAGACAGAACAAAAAAAAAAACCTATGCATGCACATAACTAGGTAGGGGCGGTGAAAAAGTTGTTATTGAGCTCTGCTAAGAGGAGTAACACAAACCCTGTAAATAATTACTTTTATCATATTTAAATGATGTAGAATTTGCCTTAACGGTTATGTATTTTATGAACATCTTGTTGAATTTAACGGTTTATCTCTTCAGAAGGAGAAAGAATTCAGTCTGGAAGTGAAAGAAATTGTACAGAATCTTTATGCCGTTCTCCAGCGTGCTGTCTAGGGAGAAATGGGAGCTGGCAAAGTGAACTCATAGGGCTAAATGGATTTGGGACTCGACTGTTAGAGATAATAATAAATCTGACTAGTATGTCAATCTTATCTTATGTTTTAGTGTAATCATCTCTATTAGTATCCTTATCATCAAGAGAAATTACGCTTTTCACTATAGATTTTCAATCATAACACAAATTCAAATTACCATAGGTATTCTTGATAAAAGGTATAAATTTCGAGTTGTAACAGAAACAATCTTAGGAATTCATGTTATAGGTTAAGAATGTTGAGTATTAGAAACCTTCATTCTATATCATCGGGAAAAATGAATTCTCCATAAAGAAAAAAAAACACGTAAGAATTATAAAGGTCCTCCTTAATGTGAGACTTCATTTTCTTCAGCTTCTGCAATAATTTTCACTACAATGGAAAGAACTTTAAAAAAGAAAATCGCATATCCTATTTCTCTAAGATCAATCCATGAATGGTTCTGCCTAATATTGACAATAATAGAATTCACAACTTAATGAATAACTTACGGTTAATTTCGCACTTACTGTACTTTGGTGGATGAGAAGTGAAATTGCTCGTTGGTCATTACAAAACAAGTACAATGTAATTAAAAAAAATTGCAGTTGAAATATGTTTAAAAAAAAAAAAAAGATATTAACGAAATTTTTTATGACTGCTAGAATTGAGGTTTTAATGTACTTATTTGCCTAATTTTTAAAGTGTTTATTAGCAGTGAGTAAAGAATATATGATTAAAAAATTAATAAAAATTGTGAATCTTAAAATATATAGTTCAAAATAATTTTTATATTTGATGAACTTATAATACTTAAGCCATATCTGCTAGTGATTCTCTAAAATTTATTATTTCTGGAATTTATTTTCAATTACATATTTTTCTAATGAAATAATTTTGCACGTGGATTAACAAAAATTTTCTAGTTTTTACCCATATATTCTTCAAAAAAAAAAAAAATTTCACAAAATATACTATAAAAATTCTACATCAAATAGGTGGTTAGAGCTTTGCAAAACAGACGAGTTTTTTGGCACGACTAAGTTAAAGTCAATAATTAATATTAATATTAACCACATATTTCATCATATTCTTAACTTTTTAATCATAAATTTTATCAATTTTTATCAAAAATGATTAAGAAATTGATTATTATATAAATAAAATAGGGGCATAGTGAGTGAGATAATATGATGA